TTAAATTTCTGATGAGGGGTGTTATCCTTCCCATAGAAAACACAGCAATGTAGATCTTTCTTTCAGGAATGTTTTTATTTTTTTTTTGAGACAGAGTCTCACTCTGTTGCCCGGGCTAGAGTGCCGTGGCATCAGCCTAGCTCACAGCAACCTCAAACTCCTGGACTCAAGCAATCCTCTTGCCTCAGCCTCCTGAGTAGCTGGGACTACAGGCGTGCGCCACCATGCCCGGCTAATTTTTTCTATATATTTTTAGTTGTTTGGCTAATTTCTTTCTATTTTTAGTGGAGACAGGGTCTCACTCTTGCTCAGGCTGGTCTTGAATTCCTCGGCTCAAACGATCCACCTGCCTCGGCCTCCCAGAGTGCTAGGATTACAGAGGAATGTTTTTATTTTTTAATATGACTTTCACAATTTGTGTAGACTGCTTAAAAGGAAACAGGAAAAAATCATCATTCTTTAGTAACTGAAGGATGTCTCTCATTACCTATATATAATCATGCCTGAACTTAATATTCCCCAATTTTCTTAATTTTAGGGGTAAAAATCTAGGAATCCTTTAAGCCAGTGGATCTTTGAGAAGGATGCATTGCTGCCGCCCCCCCCTCCCCAAAAACCCAAAACCAAAAAACATGCTCTATTTGAGTGATGCTCCCTGCAGTGTGTGGCAGAAGGCTTGGTTGCAGAGAGGGGCTTAATAAATGGTGAACTGAATTGAAACAGGGTTTTCCTGGATGCTCAGTGGGAAGTTCTAGTGTGGGTATTGGTGGACTGAAAATCACTTCTAAAGAAAGTCATTTATTTACTCATATATAGGCCAGAATCTTCTTACGATAAAAAATTAATTCTTTGCCCCAGATTGTCTGAGATACTAACAGTAATGTAAAGCCCTTTTCCTTTTTTCCCTTGTAGGCATCTTACAGTATTTTCTACTTTTCTGTTTAGGATGTTAGGTAAAGGGAAAGAGAATGATAAGAATTTTTTTTTTCTAAAAAATAAAACAACTGATTTAAAGTTAGTATTTTCTGCCTATTCGTTCTATTTGAAAGTGAAATTAGCAAAATATTATTATTTTAATCTAATTTGTTTTATCTCTTTGTTATTTAAAGCTTGGAATCTTTATCAGTACCTCAAACACTGTGTAAAACTTATTTTTTTTTTCTTTACAAAGATTTTTATTTTTGGCAGTTGCATTTAAGAGGATTAAAAATATGGAGTCTCTTTTATCGTCCTCCTTCCATATAGAATATTCTGTCATGAAAATTTTCAAACATACAGAAGAGCGAACCTTGTTGATCACCTATCTGTGCTTCAGTTCATTAATCCGTTTTTCTGATGCATTTCAAAGTTGTAGCCATTAGTATACTTCACCCCTAAATACTTGAGCATGCACCTCATTTAACTTGATTTCTTTCATACTTCTTACAGTTTTTTTGAAAATAAAGTGTTTGGTATGGCATCTGTCCTGGTCTTAATCTTTTAAGGGTAAAGCTCACTTTAACCGTAGTTGTATTATGTCCTTCCTAGCTTTTTTTTTTTTAAGCAAAAGTGCTTCTCAGAAGGCTTATAACAGTGATTAGCAAGATTCAGAAGAAGGTTGTGAAAGTTTCGTACGAGCCTTATGCTGCTGCTTTAGTTTTTGTTTTCTGTAAGGAATATTGCACGGTGCACATTGAATCTTACTTACTGGATAAAATTTAAAATTAAGAACTGAAGGCTGAACCTAAATTTATAAGAATCAAATGTGGTAAAGCCAAACAAGCAGGTCTGTGTGTTATAGGTAGGGGTGAGAGGTTTATCCTAACTGTATCTGGGTTTTGTTTTCCATTTGAAAAAAAATTGTTAAGCAGTAATAATACTGCTTTTGACTACTGTGTTTTGGTATGAAAGCAGCGTCCCAAAATTAATTATGTTTTTAAGCAGTAAAATAGGAAAAAATCTGTACAAATTTTGGTGCACATCAAGGCCCCTTACTTACCTTCTGTACACATTAGTTCTTAGAATGGCTTTTGCATTTCTGTTACATAGACTTCGTGATCTCAGATGGAATTATTTCAGCCCTGAACATTAGTGGGACTATTTGCAGATCACTCTTTGACTAGGTGCTTGGTCCTGTGCATGACTTTTGTTTTTTTGGGGGGCGGAGGGAGGCATTTTGTCTATATAAAGTTTATCTGGGACGATGATTTTTGCCTTAAACAGAATATAGGACGTTTTATGTTTATTTGTAGAAAAGGATTTTTGGGGAGAGTTTGTAAAAAGCATCTACACACTAGAAAATGAGAAAACTTGCTTGAAAGAATACAGTTCAGAAGACCTAGGTAGGTTAGACTCGTCTTGCCTCATCTTGATGTAGATGTGGTTTCTCTTCCATGTGTGGTTTTTCCATACTCCTTCTTCTTTCTCTTCTGTAAATTATGTATGTGAAATTCCTTGAGATCTTAAGACTAGACGAGAGAGATTTTTATTAATTATGCTGCTGTTGCTTCAGGGGAGCTAAGGAGTAAACTGAAACCAATTCCACGATGTTTACAGTGCAGTCGTTTTGTATCTGGAGAGCGATTATCTACGTCGAAGTTTGTCCTAATTTCAGTTTGACAAAGTCTACGTGTTCTTTTAAATTACTTGCTGAGTTGGTGAGTTTTTGTTATTTTTAAAAATTGACAACACCCTCTGCTTACAAAAAATTTTGGTGCTCTGGTTTTGCCTGCAGCCTGCTTCCTCTCAGGGAACCCTTAGGAAACCTGATCTCCAGAGAGGGTTTGAAAATGTGGGCATCTCGGCCTAGGCTGGTGCCTGGTATCTCTCAAAAAGAAGGGCTGTTCATCTCCAGCAGGTGTTGAGAACAGAGTAGGGCTCATCACCTGGAAACGTGACCATCTCTGCTCCTGCAGAATTACATCTTTTGGTGGTTTAGTAGCTCCCTAGCATGAAACAGACTCCAAAGCCAAATCGAAATGCTTTTTGTATTACCTCTACCTAATTTCTTCTCACCCCCTGGTTGATTCTCTGTCACGTTAATCACATTAGTATGAATAATTGGAGAGTTGATGACACCACATTTTTCAGCCTAGAGTTTTCTGATGAGGACCGAAGCATCCGATCAAATTTCATGTTTGTGATTCCTGCTTCACAGCCAGTGTTTATTCACCCAGAAGCTTTATTAAATCTCTCCCTCCTTCCTCTTGAGTCGATGCTTCCCTCCAAACATCAGGCCCTGCTTCGCTATCTCCCTTAATTTTCACGTTGCATTTAGTCCAGAGGGTCTTCTCCCTTAGGAAACACCAATTCTCAAGATACGAGTGTCCTCCGTCTAAAAGCCAGAGTCCCCGGAGAGTCTTAATTTCTAATAAGAATTTAGCCATTGCCAAACCTTATAAAAACAGGATTTTAAAATTAGAAAAACACTTTAATCTGTAAATTGCTGAAATTAGGTTTTTGATTGGCTTGTTTTATGATACATAGCCTATTGGAAAATTGTCAGTTTGTGTATTCATTTAGTGTTTGGTGTTTTCTGTCAACAGGAAGAAGGTAGATAATGACTATAATGCCCTGCGAGAAAGGCTCAGGACCTTGCCTGATAAGTTGTCTTATAATATCATGGTATGTTCGCTGTGTTTCTTTTAAAGTAATACATTGTTTCTTGTAAACATAGTAACTGTGTGAAATGATACGATGTTTCTTTGCTATATATGTGTCTGCCCTGATGAATTGTGTCGGAGGTAACTACCACAGCAAGGAAGATTGGTTTCGTTGTGCTTTATAATAATACAAGAATTATAGTAATAGTATTGTCTTTTTTTCAGATATATAAAATTATCACTTTATGGTGACGTAAATGACATAAATACTAGCACAAAATTTGACAAATTTCATAAGCAAACTTACTTCATTAAAAAACTGTAATTATGACAGAAATATGGGACTTAGTCACTTCCTGTTAGTCAGAGCAGTAATAGGCCACAGTGTTTTATAATTCACAGAATTAAACCCTGGGACATTGATTTTTATATAAAAAGGTGCTGCTAATTTTTGTTTTAATGATATTCTTATCGACATAGTGATGTATTCATGAGCCCTGGATTAGAATCTTTCACTGCATGAATATACTTTCTCATGAAGACGTCGTTCTTATTATAAACTAGCCAAAATATTTTATAAATGTAGCAGGGTAGATCCATTAAAGCTATTTGTTTACCAATTCTTGCTTTGAAAAAAGGCTGTCTTATTGAAAATAATTTTTAGTTTTCTTTATCAGAAGTATTCTCCATTGACAGTATTTTACTAGTTTGCTTTCATTTAGTTTTACAGATGAGTGAAAAGTATAAACAGAGATAGTATTAAGAGTACTCTAAGAGTTATATGTAAATATGTATGGATTTATTTTCTTGTTTTAACATTGATTTATTAACGTAAAGCAATTTTCTATAGATTTTCTTAGTGAAATTTTAGTATAATGTTAAATTTCTGTGGAGTTGGCATTCTCCCTCGACCAGTGTATCGATAAAAAAAAGAACTCAATAAAAATGCAGGGTTTTTAATGCTAAGTGTTCCATAAAATATATTTTTTAGTGTTTTAAGTTTTTGCCTTTTTTTCTTTTTTTTAAACAATAGGTACCATTTGGCCCCTTTGCCTTCATGCCAGGAAAACTCGTCCACACTAACGAAGTCACTGTTCTACTTGGGGACAACTGGTTTGCGAAGTGCTCAGCAAAGCAGGCCGTGGGTTTAGTTGAGCACCGGAAAGAACGTAGGTACCAGTTACAAACGTTTCTTTGTTGTGCGTGTATCAGTTCACAAATTGCAAAGCTGATGGAGTATTTGTTACGAAAAGTACTTTCCGTGATTTCCTAGTCTGGGCGGTTTGTGATGTCCCTAAACTGTAGTAGTTGGAGTGGAACCAACAGCAGAGAAGGTGCTGGGGAGCGGAGCGTCCAGGTTGGCAGGATCACCCACATTGGTGTCTTTGCAGAAATTACCTTGTGTAGAAGCCACTACATGGGATTTATAGATAGAAGTTGGGGAGACATAAAAATTGGGGTCATTTTATACTTCATAATTGGTTTGTTTTAGTTGCTTTTATAGGCTTACTTTTCCTTTTAATACGTTAGTGCACAGAAGTAATTTATTTTCTGCCTATGAACTAAGAGAAATAACTGTTTACATGAGTAGACAATTCTTAAAGATGCTCTTCAGTTTGGAAGAGATGATGTCCTTTTGAAGAAGAGACCATGTGTGGAGAGCTGCTACCGAAAACGGCACCCTACACTTTTTAAGTCGTTTGAGGTCTGTGCTTCATTTTACTAAGATAATTCTTTAGTTTTATTTCTCTTTGATATTATTTATTGGTGTATAGATAACCTCAACACGCGCACGCAACACACACACACACACACACACACACACACACACACACACACACACACATTGCAGTTGGATGAGTTAGCTTGGGTTCTAGCTTAGTTGTGTTTTAAAATTAGATTCATTTCATTTCTAATCTGTCGCCTTATTTCTATAATAGCATATTTAAATTGGTAGTATAATATCACCTCTACCTGCTTTTTAACCTTCTAGTTAAATGTGTTTGAAAATAAATTTTGTGAGGATCCTTTCGTATAAATAAGGTCACGCTAGATAGAAAACAGCTGAGGTTTCCTAAAGCTGATACTGATTTCACTGATTCACAAGTGGATACTAGTTAGAGAACTTATTTACTCAGTGAAATTCTGGGATCTACATTTGGAGACTCTAATTGCAAATCAACTCCTCTAAGTTTATAATTGATACATATTTTGATCTTTTGTGACACTAATCAGAATGTTACAGTTAGGCCTGTGTGTAATTTCTGGCAATGATAAATCTTTTGGCTTTGCTACGTTAAAACATGTCATGTATGTTACACGAAAGAGAATGGGCATAATTCTTTCTTAAAGACCTTTCTTAATGGGGAAGGCTTCCCTGGGGCACCTCTGCTGATACGGAATGAATTCGTAGCCTCTTGAAGTTTATTCATGTTGATTTTCATATTTCAGTGGAGAAATCTCTAGAATCAGTTACAACTTAAAATATTAAAGGTAGAGTACTTTTAATACAGTAGAGTAGAGTTCTAGAGCAGAGAAACTTCTGGCAGTCACTTTCCCATAGTTAAATACGGTTCTGGAAAGTGACCAAACATGATTTCTGAAATCAGTATTTATCTGTAGTAATTTTCAAAGCACATATTTATAGGCCTGAGAGCCTATTATGATAAATAAATTCTATAAAGTTTTATTCACACAGTTTTATAAAAATTTATAACTGAAGAAAATGTTTAGGCATATTGTTGTGCTCAATATTTATTAGGAATAGGTACTTTATTTTTCTTAATGCAAAAGAAATAAAGCAAGTTGAACATTTAGTCGTCTACCTCACTGTTTACTGGGGTACCTGGGGGAGGTGGGGGGAGGTTACTGCTTGTCAGCAGAGTGGTCAGAATGAGGGACAGAATAGATTTGATGACAGCCACAACAGAAGACTCATAGCAGGTCAGGGGAAGATGATTCCTGTGACTAAGAAGCCCAGCTCAGTGCTCTTACCCTTTGTGCCCATATCTTGCAATTTTTAACATTTAATAAGGATATGATCATATTTTTAAAGTTTTTTAAATTTTTAAATTATTGTTTAGTAAAACTGACTTTTTGTTTGGCATACTGTCCCGTGAGTTACAACACAGGTGTTGGTTTGTGTAGCCAGCATCACAGTCAGGACAGAGATTAGAATACGGGACACCCCACAGTCAGGACTGGGGATCCCACCCACGTGTCTGTCCTGCCACCCTGTGTGGTCACCCCCGACCTCTGCCACCAAGGCTTGGCAACCCCTGATCTGTCTTTTTTCAGAATGTCATGTGAATGGAATTGTACGGTCTCTGAGCCTGAATGCTCTGTGTGTCGGAAGTTCATGCCTTTTTATTGCCGAGTGCGGTTGTGTGTACGTCCTTTATGTGCATGGACCATGGTTCTTCTGTTCACCTGTTGAAGGACATTTGGATGTTTCTGTTTTTTGCAATTATGAATAGAGCTGCTGTGAGCCTTCATGTATAGATTTCTATGTGAACATAAGGTCACATTAAGTGTATGTTCAGTTTTTAAGAAACTACCACACTGTTTTCCCAACTGGCCGTGTGGTTTTATATCTCCACCAGCAGTGTGTGAGAGTTCTGGTTTCTTTGCATCCTTACGGGTTCTTGGTATTGTCGGTTTTGAAAACATTAGCTAACTGAGGTGTATAGTGGTTTTAATTTGCATCATTGTTGGATGATATTGAGCATTGATTTGTGTGCTTATTTGCTGTCTGTTTTATCTGTTGAAGTCTTATGCCCATTTTTAAAAATTGAGGTGTGTTTTTTTGTACTGTTGAGTTTTGAGAGTTCTTTATATATTCTGAGTGTGTCCTTTGTTAAATATGTGATTCGCAAATATTTTCTCCCAGTCTGTATCTTGTCTTTTCATTCTCTTAATAGTGTCTTTCCAGAGCAAAAGTTTTTAATTTTTAAGTTCGCTTTATCACTTTTTTCTTTTATGGATCATGTATTTGGCGTCATATCTAAGAACTCTCTTTGCACCTTAGGTCTTGAAGATTTTCTCCTATGTTTTCTTCTAAAAGTTTTATAGTTTGACTTTTTGCAGTTAGATCTGTGATCCGTTTTAAGTTCGTTTTTGTATGATATGTGAGGTTTAGGTCAAGGTTCATTATTCTTGCATATGATTATCCAATTCTTCCCACATTGTTTGTTGAAAATACTATTCTTTTTCCATTGAATTAGCTTTGCACCTTTGTGATAAATGAATTGGCAATCAAAACCACGTTAGATACCCCACTAGGGTAGCTGTAATAAAAAAAAAAGACAGTAACACATATTGGCAAAGGTGTGGAAAAATTGGAACCCTCATACATTGCTGGGGGGGAGTGTAAACTGATACAGCCACTTTGGAAAACTGTTTGGAACTTTTCAGAAAGTTAAATATTGAGTTTATGCCATGTGATCCAGCAATTCCATACCTAGATGGTATTCTACCGGAGTGAAATTAAAACATGTGTCCGCACAAAAACTTGAACATGAATGTTAGTGGCAGCATTTTTCATAATAGCCAAAAAGTGGAAACAGCCCACATGTCTATCAGCTAGTGAACATACAGTGTCATGGATCCATGCAGTGGAGTGTTGTTTGGCAATAAAAAGGAACATACCTTGAAAACATTCTAAGTGAAAGAAGCCAGTCACAAAAGACCACACATTGTATGATTCCATTTGTATGAAATGTTCGGAATAGGCAAATTTGTAAAACAGAAAGTAGATTAGTGGTTGCTTAGAGCTAGGAAGATTACCGAATGGAAAGTGACTGCTAATGAGTGTGGGGATTTTTTTAAGAGTGATGAAAATATAAAAAAATAAAGATGTGATTGTCGCACAACTAAAAACCATTGAATTTCCACTTTAAATGGGCAAAATTTTATGGTGTGTGAATTATATCTTACTAAAATTGTTCAAAAATGAACTGGCCATATTTGCATGGCCATATTTTTTGGACCGTCTGTTCTGTTTCTTTGACCTGTGTGTCTGTCTCTGCTGATCGCACTCGGCCTTGATTGCTGTAGCTTTCTAGCGTTTCTTAAAATTGGGTAAGTGTGAGTCCTCTAATTTGTCCCTCCTTGACGGAATTGTTTTGGCTATTCTAATTCCTTTGCCTTTCTGTATACATTTTAGAAACAACTTGTTCATATTTACAGAGAATTCCTGGTGGGATTTTCATTGGAATTATCCTAAATCTGTATATCAGTTTGGGGGAGAATTGGCATCTTAACTTATTAAATCTTTCAATCTGTAAATACAGTGTATCTCTCTCTTTAGGGCTTCTTTCCCCAGCGTTTTATAGGTTTTAAGCATACAGTTTATTTTTAAAGTTGACATTGTATCCTGCAACCTTGCTAAATGCGTTTTCTGAATTTCTTTTGGGTATATTCCATGGAATTTTCTATGTAGACAATCACATCTTTTGTGAACAGTGATGATTTTATTATTCTTTGCCAGTATGTAAGCCCTCTATTACTATTTTTTCTTGCCTTTCTGCCCTGTCTAGGACTTGCAGTACAGTATTGAATAGGAGTGGTTAAGATAGACATTCTTGCCTTGTAAGTGATCTTCTGGCAAAAACATTTGGTATTTTACCATTAAGTATAGTGTTAGCTGTAGGTTTTGTTTTTTTTTTTTAAGTTGATACCCTCTGTCAGATTAAGGAAGTGTCTCTTTTGTTTATCTTCCTCTGATCTTTGTTATTCCTTCCTTCTGCTGCTGTTGGATTTAGTTTACTCTTCTTTTTCCAGTTCCTTAAAGTGTACAGTTAGGTTATTGATTTGAGGTATTTCTTCTTTTTTAATGCAGGTGTCAACAGCTATAAATTTCTCTTCTAGCGTTGTTTCCCTGCACCCCACAAGTGTTGATATGTTGGGTTTTCATTTCACACTTTTGATAAATCAGTGTTCATACTTAGATATTATATAGTTCCATTTTATTCTTGTACAGGCTTTTATTTGAAGTTAGCTATTTGTTTGTTGCATAGTTTTCTTTATATCTGTTGTTAATTTAGTCAAACACTTTTTTTTTTTTTGGTCAGAGATCTCACTGCTGGTATCTTTCATACAATGTCTCGCTTCAGTTTGGACTGGCTGCTCTCTTGACCAAAGAGAGCTGTTGTACTGGTGTCTTTTTTACCATGATACTAGGTTTTTGTCTCTTATTTGTTCCCTGTTGTTGTTCCCATGGCATCATCGTCTTTCGTATGGCTTTCAGTAACTTTCTGGGAAGGCATGTGGGAGATATATTTTTTGAAGTTTTGCATATCTGAAGTATTCTTTATACTCCTGTTTGTTGTAGCTAGACTGTTCAGAATTCTGTTTTTTTAAAAATGGTTTTGCCCCTCATAATTTTGAGTACATTATTTTCTTTTCTGTGTTTAAGTGTTCCTATTAAAATTTTCGATTCTTCCCCCCCCGCCCCTCTTTTGGTAAAATTTTAGGTTCCTTATTGGTCTTTATTCCCCATGATCTGAAATGCTATAGTGATATGCCCTGATGCCTTGTTCAGTATCTTGTAAAATTGCTTGGTGCTGGGTGGCTCCTTTCAGTGTGGAGACTCACGTCCTACAGTTCTGGGAAATTTCCAGTATTATTTCTTTGAAAATTTCCTTTTCTTGTCCATCTGTTTATCTTTGTTATAATTTTTGAAGGGAGTTCTTCTACTTGATCTTTGAAATCATGTACTAATTTTTTAAAAAATTTCTGTGCATATTTTAATTCCGAGAGATCCTTTTTTGTGCTTTGAATGCTCCTTTGTTGTAGCATCCTGTTCTTGTTTCATGGATACAGTGTCTTTGTTTTAGGAATACAGTTTCTTCTTTTAAAGTTTTCTTCTTTATATATTTCCTCCATTTCCCTTTTTTCTTCTTTTCTCTCCCCCCCCTCTTTTTTTTTCCTTGTCTCTGGTATTAATGGTGAAGAATTTCTTCAAATGTCTGGTGATCTTTTGCTTACCTAATTAATTCCAATTCATACTTAGAATTAAGCACTGTTAGTTGGCTCTGTGCATGGGCAAGGTTTGTTGACTGGTAGGTTTTTTTATAGGGAGTTAAGGTGACAAGCTGATTTTTTTTATTGAGCTGTCTTTAAATATTAGCAGCTTTTGGGTTAGTCAACATCCTACAAAAGAATTTTCTGATCTTCTTTTGTCTGGGAACCAGGCTGGGGAACTAGGCCGGGGAATCTCAAGGTTCAGTGTGTTCACTTGGGATTAATCCCCCTGATTTCTCTAAGACGTTTCCTATTCTCTTCTCTCTTCACCCATCCCTACAATCCCTGCAGACCACTCTACGCTAGGAATCTTTTGTTTAGACAAGAGAGGGGAAATCACCTGGCTGTGTTTTGTAATTTCGGGGTTTTGGAACCAACCATTCCTTTCAAACTTCCGTCCAGATCTTTGTTTTTGGTTTTCCCTTGAGAAATACTCCCGAGCAGCCTTATCCAGGTCCTAGAGCCCAAAGTGACTTGTAGCAGCTTTTCTGTGCTTCAGTTAGGTTTCAGCTTTTTCTGTTGTGCAAATTTAGTTATCACTTACGCAGTTTCCAACACTTGGTTGACAGCCTTGTCTGTTACTTTCTCCTCTCCAAATATCTTTGTCTTTGTGGGTTTGTGCCTTTTAAAATTTTTTTTCTTAGTTGTTGTTTTACTGAGGTATGGGTGAACAGTGTTAAGTGCCTGTATTCACTCTGCCTTTAGAGCAGAAGTCCAGACCTCTGCACTGGTCTAGAAGGAGAGATCCTGCAAGAGGTTTGCGAGTACTTCCACCAGGGGGCACGCCCTGTTGGAACCGTTGAAAGAACACTTCAAAATTCCAGCACACAAAGGGAAGGAGGTTGAGAGTGGGGCGGTCACAAAAGATTCGGGAGGGACTTGTATTTTCACGGGCCTGATCCTTTTGAGCCCGTACAAACACATGGCTAAGTAAAGAGACTCCTTTTATGAATGATGCTCATAACTTTTATTAAGCTTTTGCAGATAATTTTTATTACATCTGCAATTTTATTCCTTTCAAATATATACAATTCCACAAACTGTAACTAAATATTTCTAAACATTCGGTCTTTCTTAGTGAATAGTATAGCATTTGTCTTTAGGTAAAAATGGCTACTTAAGAGGCTTTGAATTTTCTCTTTTAGTTTAAACGTGATCTTTAGAATTTGCACTGGTAATTTTCTTTAAGTCCCTTTTTCCTAGGTAGCACAAAGGATTTCAGCCAGTTCTGGACAAATTATTATAGGTTCTGAATTATCGAAGATTTAAAAATACTAGGTTATGCTTGCTGCAGAAATAACATGCAACCTG